ATTTGGGAACCCGAGACCTGCGCGGCCCCCTAGGGACAGCCGATGGGAGGGGGGAGAACTGCGGAAGATTTGGCCGCGGCCTCGGGCAGACGCCTAAGAATCGACTCGCCCAGCCCGCCCGCGGTTCCTCCCGCTCCAAGCCTGGCCCTCTGCCCCGCCGCCAGCGCTGCCCCGGCCGCCTCGGCGCTCACTGCTCCGCGCCGGGCCGACACGCAGTTAACCCCGCGGGTCCCAGGGCCCCAGAATCTCCCGGCGGCTCCTTGAAGCCTCCACGGAAGTTGAATCGGGTCGGCAGTGGCGAACCGGAGGACCGCACCGACGGGCCATCTGCCCCCAGGGAGGCGAGGTCGCGAGTTGAGGAGGGGCTGGCGCTTCCCCGGTGGGTGGTCCTGGAGGAGGGAGTGGCGTTAGACCCCTGCCTGGAGGCCACCCGCCCGACCTCGACTTAGGCTCTTCTTGCCATTTCAGCCTGGGAGCTCGGCCGGCCGTAGAGTTCCGAAAGAAGGGACGTAAACAGAGGTCCCTGCTTTGGGCTTCTTTGTCAGGGCTCTTGGAAGCACGTGGTGTCGGTTCTCTGAGCGCAGGGCGCTGGGGCGAGCTGGAGCTGGGGGGTCGAATGCTGCTTCTACGGTTTGGAAAAGCCTTCCCGAACTGGTCCTCGCCACTTCGATTTCCTTCTTTGCGCCGGGTGCCTCGGGGTCGGGAACCGAATCCGCAGTTGGCGCTGTTCTCTGTGACACTTTCCCAGGCCCGCATGTGGCGCCGTGGTCAGGCCCCGAGCCAGCGCCGAGTCCTGGCTCCGCCCCCTGCCTAGGCGGGTGGACCCAGTTCTTCGATCCTACCCCTATAAACTTCCTCCCGAATTTGTGATGGGAGCACTGGTCTTTGTCTGGAGTCTATGGGCAAGCCACGTATTTATCACCTAAGTGTCCTTATTAGTGAGATTTCCAACGTACTTTTTCTACGCCTTAGCGTGGAGGTCCCAGGATCAGAGAATGGGTCAGAGAGTGGCCAGATAGCCTTCTCCACCTCATTCTCTTTCCCAAAAGAGGACCTGCGTGATCTTTCAAGTCCTTGTCGGTTTGGGTCAAGATGAGTTCTAACCTTGAAAAAGCGGATGATCTTTGCAAGCTACTAGAGTACCCTGGGTCCTGGGAGCTTTCCACAGATCGAGGGCTCACCCACTTTCTGCAAATGTGGATGTTCTGGGATCTTCCAAAGTTTCAGATCCACTGACCTTCCCAGCACTGAGCTCTTTCCACCCTCTGAGCCCTCCTTAAGCCTGAGAGTCTGCTCTGACAGGAACCTTCAGGCAACACTGGGCAGTGGAGAGAGAACAGGCATGTATAAACTGTTAGTACAGAATAAGCATAAAAAGCCTGTAGCACCATTGCCTGATATATGTATGTGTGTCCATATGTCACTGGTTACCCTCCTTCCCTTATGTTTACAGGAAACTGGTTCTAATAGGTAGAGCTACATTGAGCTGCTGATTACAAAGCCAGCAGTTCAGGAGAAAGCCTAGGCGCTCTACTCCAGTACAGTGTCACAGTCTTGATCATTGGAAACTCCCCCACAGAAGGGACACATAGAAGGGATGAGTCATCCAGGGTGCAGTGTAGCACTGATAAAATACACAACATTCTTCTAGTTCTTTAATGCCCCCCCCCCCCACTATCATGGCCCCAGTTAGACCTCACAATATACTGCTAGACCAGCTTGTGTTCATTGGTACCAATAAGAGCTTTGGACTCCAGGATAGAGAAACACCTCAGAAGTAATAATGGGAGTAATGATTCCAAGAGGGTATGGGAAGGGAGGGGGAAGGGCAGATGGGGGAACTGATAGCAATGATGGATGTGTAACCCCCCTGGAGGGGGATGAATAACAGAACTGTGTATGAAAGTGATACATTGGATAAGATGTAAGATATGAAAAAATCGATATGCTTTATTAAGGGTGCACAAGGGTGGGGGAGGGAGGGAATAAAGAGGAGGTAATATCAAGGGACTCAAATAGAAAGAAATGTTTTGAAAATGATGATGGCAGCATCTGTTCAAGTTCACCTAATGTAATTGATTTATGGATGGTTATATCTGTAAGAGGACCCAATCAAATGATTGAGGGAAAAAAAGTCACAGTCTTGGAAACCCACAGAAGTAGTTCTACACTGTCGTATGAGGTCGCTCTGAGTTGGAAATCCACAGTCCGTTTTTGGCTTGGGGTTCTAATAGGTCTGAGACAGACCTTTTCATTAGCAGCAGCAGCTGGCCTCTCTCCAAAAGGCTGCAAGCTGAGGTGGAATGTCTTCACACTTCATACAGCCCACCTGGACTGGCTCCCACTCTGATCAGCAATCTTTGCATAAGACAGACCTTCAGGGAGGCATTTGATAGACAGTAGTCTGAACCTAAGACAATCTCAGTCTTCAGTCGCAGCGCTCAGTGCAGCTGCTGGTGAGGCTTGCTGTGTCTGGTTGACTCCACCCCAACTTTGGAACCCCACCCTTTCCCCCTCTCTTAAAACTTTCAGGTTCTGTTGTTTCACCAGACTTGGCTTTGGAGAAGCTATGAGGTTAGGGAGAGTACTTTAGTGCACTGGTGAGAAAATGGCTCATCCTTGAAACATATTTTTGAATGTTCTGGAGGTGACATGGGATCTGACACTCTGGAAGGCACCAGCTGGCTGGGTGGTATGACCCAAGGAGCTAACTGATGGGTGACACATCCCCTAAGGTCAAGGGCAGTCTGGGGCTTCTGTGAGCAGGAGGCCTCCCAGCAAGAGGCGCCCGCCTTCCCAGGGCAGGCTCGATGACCAAGTGAGGGACTTTAGGGAACAGGGCTAGAGCAGCGCCAAGGGCTTCCTAAGCGACTCCCTGACTTTGGGTTGGGGTATTTCGGGCCTGTGATCTAGGGACCAGTTTCCAAAGCCAGCAGACAGGAAAGCCGGTGTTTGGCAAACCCTCCTCTCTGCAGTCCTGTAGGCGGAAGGGGAGAGGAGACAGGTGGTGCTTTAAAATATTTGAATTTTACAGCCTCTGGCGCCACCCCCGCCCACAGCTGCCACTCTCCGTGCCGCTAGGCCGGGCCCAGTTCTGGGTCGGTCCCTAGACCCAGAGGTCCCAAGCGCCGTCCCGCAGGGGGTAGGCCAGGCACGCTAAAGGATAGCCGGTCTCTTGCTACCTGCCTCGCTCTTACAGACCCCGCGTCCCTTGCAGCCTGTCCAAGAGCGCGTCCCGGTAGCCCCAGTGGCCTTTCAGTTTAGCCCAGGGTTTGGGACAAGTTAAGGCGCGGGGATTGCGCCCCAACGAAATCTCTCCGTTTCAGAAGGACCTTGCGGATCACGAGTAGGGTTGCCAGGAGCGAACTGGGGCTTCGTCGGCACCGCACGGGGTTGGCAGGTCCCCCGGGTCCTGGGGCATCGCACTCCTCCTCTCTCCAGGCCTGTCCGTCGGGCCTGCGAGGCTCGGCCCGGCGCGTCCTCCGGAGAAAACGGTTGGGAGGCCGTGGACTCCCGGGGGATCTCCTTCAAACGAAAAGAGCGCGGGCGGGGGTCTCCCTGCCCGCCAGGAGGCCCGGGAAACGCACACAGCGGCCGGAGGCTGCGAAGGGCTGCGCGCGGTAATTGGTGGCTCCTCCGCGTCGCGGCCTCGGATCCGGCCAGTGGTCACAGCTCAGTCCTGCAGGGTCCCCTCTCCGCCCGCTCGCTCCCTCTGGGAGCAAGGCCTTCCCCAAGGTGACCGCGGCCATGGTGAGGGGGCCAGGCTCTTGGCTTTGGGCTCAGGAATCCCAAAGAAATCCAGTGCCTTTGTGTTTGTTTGTTTGTTTTCTTCTTTTCCAGGAAGGGGCATCAAGGGGCTGTGAGCCCCACGCCTGCCTCCTGCTAGGCCTGCACGCGAGCGCCCCACGCGGCGGGTCCCAGCAGTGGCGTCGTTGGGTTGATTTCCCCGTTTCTCCTAGTG